CGTCGAATTGCCCCGCCGCACTTTACTTCGGAGGACCGTTAAATTGCAGGCGCTTTTAGCCCGCACGAATAGGCTCGAAGTGGTGTATTTTAAGAAAAAAAGAGCGTTAGCTCGTGTTAGTTGTGTGCAAACCTGACACGGAGGGAGATGGGTCCCTTAAGCTGGTCCACCGAAGCAAAATGTGGACGTTCCGAGTGACCAACTGACTAGGTAGTCACCTATTAACATGACAAATGGCAGATCCTTCCTAATTAAGCCACATCCAATCTACATTTTTCCCCTAGAAAACCCCGCCAAATCGATGTATCGATACCCGCACCTCCATTTACAAACCCTACTAAAATCGTCACCCGGCCAGGGCCCAATATGCACGGATATCAACGCCTGCAGCGGGGTAACGCGTGCACCAATCTGCACCGCGATACCTTCAACTCAACGCACTTCAACGCCGGCAATCTGCACCGCGATACCCTTTACATTCTTTTTATGAAAAAATGCAACAAAACGTAAAGCTTTTTTTTTTTCTCCTCGGGTACGTTAACTCCAGCTTAAATTTGCGCATTAAGCTTTTAAAAAAAATAGCTAATAAAAAAGCATTAAATATAAAGCGGAATTAGCTTTTTCTTTTAGTTTAACAAAGTTTAGTACTTTAATTAACCTTTTAAAAATTAACAATATATAACAATTTACAATTGCAAAAACTCAGCAGCTTTTGCACTGGTTAAACAAAAAAATTACGGATTTATATTTTAAAGCTTGTTTGCAAGCCGAATTAATAACCTACTGTTTTTTTTTAGTTTAACAAAATAAGCATTAACGCTATCGAGTACTGCAAACGTATACTTCCGCTGGTTTCCAACTAGTTTAAAGCCCAAGTGTAGGAAGGACTTTGGGGTGGAGTCCTATGCTCGTGGATTTCCAAACGGCGTAAAACTAAGGTTTGATAATTATTAAAAGGTAATTAAGTTAAAATGTTATTATTTAAGTTTAAAAAAAAAAAATTTTGCTGGAAAAAAGGGACGGATCCAACCTTTTTATATAAGTACAAAAAAGCTTTGAATAGTTAGTACACAAATTCCGGATTTGTGCATGGCGGTTTTCCAAAGCTTATGCATGCGTTTAACAAGTAAATTTTAATACTAATTATTTTTTTTTTAATAGCGCATGCATGGTAAAACGGATAAAAAAAATTTGCGGTTTAAATGCGCAATAACAAATAATTTGCTAAATCGGCGATTTGGGTAATATATAAAAAAAAAATGCTTGTTTAAATTGTTTCGCCGAATGCATATTAATATTAAACAATAAACGTAAATAAAAATTTGGAAAATTATGTAAATTCCGGTTTTAAAGCTTTAAAATCGATAAATTTAAAGTTATAAGCGTTTGGGATTAGTATAAATTAAATAAAAGGTTTTTGTAATGTTTGGGAATGGGTGCGTTAAAAGCGAAAGTGGAAGTTAATAAATAAAAGGCGGTAAGCTTTTATTTGGCCCGTTAATCGTCAATCCAATTATTTTAATTTTTTCCTTTTATAACCCCGTTTTTTAAGCCAATTTAATTGGTTACGTGCGCTTTAAAATTGTTGTTTGCAATTTGTGCGTTTATTGTATTATCGTTTTCCATTTTCCTTTATTTAATTTTGTGCTTTATACCTTTTTAACAGCATTATGGACTTTTTGCTTGGCTCGAACGCTTAAAATCCGCTCGACCACGCTCCGGAAAGCGTTATTTTATTAAAAAAAGCTTAAAATTAGCAATTGGTTATTTGTATCGCTCCAAAACAAAGCTTTACAGCTTACCTTTAAGCTATGCCTTTTCCCGTTAAAAAATTTAGCGAGCTTTTTTCGTTTTCGGCATTACAATTTATGCTTAAAAGTTTGCCCGCGCCCGCTCCGGCCGTTCCAACCATTCCTATCGGTTGCAAAAAAAAGCGTGCCGCTCCCCGCAATGGCCGTAATGGTCCCAATGTTCGTAAACGCGGTAAAAAAGGTGTTAATTAAATAACAATTTGCTTTAGCTGCTTTAATTCCGTGCTTTACAGCAAATTTGGTATTAAAAGCGATATAATTTGGCTTTGTATTAAAAAATTGGGCTTTAATAGCAAGCGTTGCTAGCGTTATACTTTTAGTTATTTATATAAGCTTATATAAAATTTTTTTTTTTTCGTTTCCGGGTTTTTTGCGCTAACAATTGCTAATTTTCCGTTCGTTTATCGTATTGCTATAAAGTTTTTTGCGGAAACGCTTTGCAACGAGCTTTATAATGCGGTATATTATTTTTATTTTATATATTTTGTGCTTTACCAATTTGCTAACGTTATTTTTCCAATCGTAAATACTTTAAAAATAGCGCATTATTACCAAATAGCTTTTTAAATTTAATGTTAAACAAGCCAATTCGAATGCCAATTTTTTAATTATAACTTTGGGTTAGCGATACGAAACGGGGCGTTCGGCCGCTTTTCGTTTTTATAAAGCCGCGTTTTTCGGAGCTTTAAGCGAAGGTTTTTCCGTTTAAAACGATAATACGGATAAAAAAATAAAAATTATAATAGTAATAATAATTAGCTTTATTTTATAGCGTTTATAAAGCTTAAAAATTCCGTTACTATGCTTGCAATTGTTATTAAAAAGCAAAAAAGGCAAAAAAAAAGGGGAAAAAAGTTTTTGTTGCTAAAAACAAGGTTATTGCTTTTGGCTCGGGTAATGCTGGTAATATTTAAGCGTAAAAGTTTAAAAATCGTTTTTTTTGCTTTTTTTATGGTGGTTTCGTTATAAAATGGGTATATTAATTTTGCGCTTTTTGTTAATTTATGGTTTGGTGCTCGTTACGCATTAGTTTGGGGTTTTTTTGCTTTTTTTTTTATTAAAGCCATTATATGGCCATTGCCGTAAAAATTTTAATATGCCGATTTTTATTTCCAAACTTTTTTTTTATGTTTTGGTGCGGTTAACCTAACTTTCGATCCGGATCGAAGTTGTATTAGTGCTTACCAATTTTTTTAATGCCCGGTTTAGTTGCTTTTTCGTTATCGCATTTGCCGAATTGTTTATTCCGGCGATCCAACGGATTTCGTCGATTTTTTTATTTTTATAAAATTTTTAAAACGTTATTAAATTAATTATAAGTTTTTTTTTTGCTATCGTGCTTAATTAAACAAAGCATTAATAAAGCGAAAAGCTATCGATACAAAGGATAAATTTGGGTTGGATAAAATTTAACCGTTTAAAAATCGTTAAACAAGCTTTTTTTATAACGTAATTGGAATTAAACCCAAAAATTATGCCGTAAATTTTATTAGCTAGCATACTTTTTGTAATTTTTTTGCATTTAACCGAAATCCAATGCAAAATGTTGCCGCGCAATTAAAAATTGGTTTGGTGCTCGTTCGATTTTTCGTTATTTAATACAAAAATAAACCCGATTTGCAAAAACATGTTATTATTGTTTGCAAAGGATCCATTTACGAAAATGTAAAGGTTTGCGCTTTCGAAATCGATAAAAACGTTATTTAAGCTTTTATTAGCGTTTTCGATTTGCCAACCAATTTTTTTATTAAATTTGCCGATATTTTTTTGTATTAAGTTTGTTTTTTATGCGGTTAAAGCGTAATCGAAAATTGCTTTAGGCTGGTATATAAAGTTAATGTACGTTTTACGAGCCCTTTAAAATACGAATTATTATTTTTAGCTTTTTAAATTGGCGTTTATAAGCTCCAATTTTTCGTTTTGGTTTTTTTGCTTTAATTTAACTTTATTTTTTTCGATTATAATTTTTTTCCCGTTAAAATCGTTTTATTTCCTTTCCGTAAGCATTAAGCGTAATTTTGCTTTAAACCCCGCTTTTTAAAACGCTTTTTTTTTAAAATCCATAAATGTTTAATTTTTTAAATTTAGCGTATCGTTTATTTGCATCCTTACCATTCCAAAATTTATATTGCGCTTTATAATAAAAAAATACGGATTATAACACAACGATTTGCAATTTAACCGCTTTTTATAATGCTTTTAATACGTAACGTACCAATGCAATTTTAATTCCGTTAAACCGTATAAAAGCTTAACGATTCGAAATAAAATGCTATAAAAAAAACGTGGGCGTAACTTTTTGGGTAAGCGCAGCAAAACGGTCCTTTCGAAATTGGTTGCGCTTTAAATATACGCTTAAGTAATGTCCCGGGTTATTAATAAAATACTTCGGTTTTAAAAGTTTGGTGCAAACGCAAAAATTAACCGTTGGTTGCAATGCATAATCGTAAAAGCTTGCGTTAAAATGGTTTTTTTTTCGTTATTATTAATATTTTAAGCTATACATTTCGTTTTTTCGTAAAAAGCTTTCGGTATTCCTTTTATTTTTTTAACGAAACGTGCTCCAAAAATTTTAGCGTTTAAAAATTGGCCTTTACGAATTGCTATAATTATTCCGGCATTAAATAAAAACGTTATTTCGTTTTAATTGGTTTCCCAAAACGGAAGTTTTGGAATTTTAATTAAGCTTTTTGCTTTATATTTAATTAATAAATGCATAGCTTTTGCCTTTTTGGGTAACAAATACGTTTTGTTATGCAATTTAATTTTTAATTGCTCCTTTAGTTTTGGGGGCTTATTGTTTTTTGCATTTAACGTTAGCGGTTTTAATCGATTTTGTAGTTATGCCGGTATTTTGTTTTTTAATGGGCGTTCGCGTCGTTTTAACTATGCCGGTTCGGGGTAAACAAATGGTTTTAAAATTTCGATTTATTGCTTTTTTAGCTTGTTATTTGGCTATTCCTTAATTTAATGGTAAAATTTAATAAAAATGCTTTTAAACGTTATTAAACCGTTAACGGTTTTAATTGTAACGTTATTGTTTATTACCGCTATTACTTTGTGCAAGCTTATCCATCCCTTTTTTTCCTAAAATATTAAAATTTTTATTCCAAAAGCGAAAAAGTTTGGTTTAACGGTGCTAATATTAAAGCCATTCCAGGTATTAATAGCGTTTGTAACTTTTTTTTTATTAATTGCTTTTCGAAGCTTTGCTATAGCCTTTTTAATTGTTTGCGCACGTTTGGTTATAATTGGTAACGGTGGTAATTCGTGGTTTATCCGTGGCATGGCTTTAAAAACGAGCAACGTTAAGACCAAACCGTTTGGTCCCGCGGTATCGTTAATTATTTTTATAGCTTTTTAAAATTGTAATTTTAGCGCAAAGTTAGGGCATTTGGCTTTTATAATCGAATGCGCTTTGCGTAACATGCTATACGCTCGTTTAACCTTTTCGACGGCGTAATGGGCCTTAACGGGAATTTGCTTGCAAATAATCCCGAAAAGCTTTATTTTAGCTTAAAAGCCGCTTTTCGAAAAATGGATTTTTGCGTTATGGGTAATTACGTTTGGGGGCTTTAAATAAACATTTATCCAATAGCGCTTTAAGGTTTTTTAAGTTTTTTTTGCAAATAGGTTTTTTAAAATCGTTATAGCATTAAATTTTATACTTTCGTTAATTACATAAAGGACCGGTTTGTTGCCCAAATAACAAACGTTAATAACGATTTCGTAATTAAAATCCTTGTTGTTTTTTAACGTAAATTTAAATCGTTGTAATGCATTTTTTTTAATTTGGCATTCGTAATATACTTTATTAATTATTTTTAACGCGTTGCGATTTATATCGTAGTTTGCCCGTTAAAGGGTTTTGTGCAATTTATTAACGGAAAAGTGGCTAAATTGTTTATAAACGCGCCGTAGCTCGGTTTTTGTTAAAAACAAAAATCCCGCGATTTTTTTTTCGGCGGCCATCGAAATTTTGTTTATAACGTATATTAATGCGTTAAAAAAAAACCATGGGTAACCAAAACGTTTAATAATTTGCACGCGCGTTCCGTTGTGCTTTACGAGCTTGTTGCGCGTATTGTTAAAGTATATACTTAACGCGTCCATATTTTTAAGTAACAAAAGGAATGGTATGTTAGGGGTTAATCGGTGCAAAGGCGGGTGGTTACCGGGTTACGGGCCGGATGCGGTGTTTCCTTTGTTAAGCCTCCGTAAATCTTTTACCAAAGGTATTATCGCCAATAAAAATTGTTCCTTTTTTAACCTCCCCTTTTTTCGTGCCCTTTCGGGCACCCGGGGTTGGTCCTTTAAATCCTCCGCGCTCCAAGCGCTTTTGTGCAATTTAAGCTTTACCCTATTTTTTAACTTCGCTATTATGCTTTGGCCGCGATACCGGTAACTCGCCGGCATGTTCCCGAAAAGTTCGTGCCCGGCTGGCTGCCAGCGCCCCCTTCCTTTTTTTTTGCCGGGCGGTTTCGCCCGTGCATTTAACGCTCCCCGCTTTTTGCCGGGCGGTTTCGCCCGTACTTTTAACATGGTATTGGGCTGTTAAAAACGTAAAACGTAATGTTGCTAATAAGGGTTGGTATATATTAAGGGTTAATTGGTGCAAAGGCGGGTAGTTACCGGGTTACGGGCCGGATACGGTATTTCTTTTGTTAAGCTTCCGTAAATTTTTTACTAAAAGTGCTATCGCTAACAAAAATTGTTCCTTTTTTAACCTTCCTTTTTTTCGTGCCCTTTCGGGCACCCGGGGTTGGTTTTTTAAATCTTTCGCGCTCCAAACGCTTTCGTACAATTTAAGCTTTACTTTATTTTTTAGCTTTGCTATTATATTTTGGCTGCGATACCGGTAATTTGCCGGCATATCCCCGGAAAGTCCGTGCCCGGCTGGTTGCTAGCGCCTTTTTTTTCCTTTTTTGCCGGGCGGTTTTGCCCGTACATTTAACACTTTCCGTTTTTTGCTAAACGGTTTCGCCCGTGCTTTTAATATATTGCCCTTTTTCGATACGGCTTATCCCAAGCCGTTTATGCCGCGCGTGCGACCCCGTAAATAACCGGTAGCTTACGATATCCCGTTAAACCGCCCCAATGCCCGGTAACGCTTGGAAAAACCGGCTGTAAAATTTTGTAGCATCCGGAAAAATGGGTCCGTACCGGCATATAAAAGGCTTTTTTTCCCGTTCGAAGTTACAAACCTTTTTTTTTCCTTTTTATACATTTAATAACCATTTTAATAACTTTAACGATTGTAACCGTAAGTAATCGGTATTTGGCCGTTCCTTTTAAACATTTAAATTTAACCGGTAGCTGCAAATGTTATTTTTTGTACCCAATTACGTAAAAAAAGTAATGTTTTTTTGGGTATCCGCTTCGGGTTTTTCGGTTTTAACCGGCCCGTTGGCCCTTTTTGGCAACCCCCCGGTATTTTCCCCAATTATCGTGGTTTAATTGGATTCGAATTCGGTTTCGCCGAAATTTTTAATCCTTTAAATTTTTAACGATTGCTTTGCCGGTAACCTTCCGGTAAGCCTTTTAAATATTGCGGGTTTATCGAGCCCTTTTGCGTTTGCAATTTTTTAAAATTCCTGCAAGCGTTTTGCCGGTAACCCCCCGGCGGGCTTTAACCGCCGCAACAAAAAAACTTTCGCCGAAAAAAAGCGTAAAGCGCGCGATAAACGCCGTTGCAACGCTTTCGATTCCAATAAACCTGCCTTCGAAACGGACATTGCCTTTTTTTCGCTTTATATAAATATTCGTAACGCGCTCCCGTTGCGGGAAGTTATCGATTTTTAATAAAGCGATAATTAAAACTTTATTTATTTGCCTTTTTTTAAAAACAATTATACGGAGCGTGCGGTATTTTGTAGCTATTATTTTGGTTATTAAATATATTAAAATTATACCGTTAACCCCCGTATACCGATATGCTTCGATAATTGTACGGGGTTTTTTAAATATATTTATTGCAAAAACGTAATTAGCAATAAAGCTTGCGTTAAACTTTTTAAATGGTTTTAGGAAATGGCTTAAAACTTTTACAAAATTTTAAATACCGTTTACAAGCGGTTGCCCAAAACGATACCGGAGCTTTTCGAAAAGCTTATTAAAACCTAATTTCGCGCTTACAAAGCTATCCAAAAAGCTAAATCCTTTTATACCATATCGGTTAAGCAATTTGCGCGTTACAAACGTTAAACCGTTATCCAAAAGCGCATTTAGCGCAAAATTGCTAACGTTGCAATATTAAAAACTATTTAAAACATTTCCCAATAGCTTTATGCTATCGCCGTTTAAACGAAAAAGCAAGCTTAAATTTCGGTTAGCATTAATAATTTTTTTAACGAAATAAAAGCGTTTTTTAAGCGTTTTAAAAAAAGTATGGTTGCTTTTTTTAATAATATTACCGTTAATTTTATTACGATTGCGGCGCATTTAAATATTTAAGCTTACAATCGCGCGGCTTCCCGTAAAGGTACGGCGTCCGTATTGGCGCCGGGAAATGCCGCTTTTAGCGCTAATAATTTTGGCGGCAACAATTATAACGCTAACAAAAAAAATGTAATTTCCGAAAGTTTTGGTTTTTTTAAATACGGCATTTAATTAATTTTTTTTACATATTTTTTTAATTAATTATTAATATTTCCTTTTCGAAAAGTAATTAATTTTAAATTTTTTTCGTTAATTTATTATAATTAAAATTATAATTTTTTTTCGTTATATTGCTTTTGCAACATTGCGAAATTCCAATATTTTTAATTACCAATTAAATTTTAATGCTTTAATAAATAATTTTAAAATGTTTTTTTTCGCTTTTTAATAAATTTAAATACCGCCAATATGCATTTGCCGCTACCCAAACGCTTAAGCCCGTTTGCCGTACCATTTGGAGGTTTTTCCATTTTTTTTTTAAGCAAGCAATGGTATTTTTTATTACAACGTACGTTTAAAATGCGGTAATTGCTTTAGCGTATTGCGCTAAGCATGCTTTTTACGGGCTTTCCAAAGTATGCTACATTTTGCATATCCTTTAAAATTTAAATATATCGTACCATTAATTTGGGGCGTTTCCCGTACTATACCGTTTTTACCTAACTTTTTGTTTATAAGGTACGATATTTTACGGTTATTACAAGCCGTTTACGGGTTTTTTTACGTTTTTTTCCGGTAATTAACCGGTTCGGCACGTTAAAACATTTTTTTGGGCTATTTCTTTGGCCTTTGTTATTTTTTTCCTGTAATACCCCCGTCTTTTCCGGGTATTTACCCGTTAGGGTCCGGTATTTTCCTTATTTTGTAAATTCGTTTCCAATAGGTTTGCTTTATACGCTTAAACAATTTTTTTCGTAATATCCTTTTTTAAGATTTACGAATTTTCCGATTCGTTATAACCTATTTATTTAACTAGGTATTTTCGTTTCCGCAAAAGCCTTTTGTATTTTAACAAGGCTTTTATTTTAAAGCGA